CCCTCACACGGTCTATGGAGCAGTCCTTTAATAGTGTATGAGACAGGGCTGGATTTAGCAAGTTGATCCGGAGGGGTGCTAGTTGCCGGAATGGGTCTGGCATGTGATACGCCAAGGTGGCTTGGCGTCGAAGGAGGGGCTGACAGGCATTAGGTGAGGGATCTGCTAGCGTAGAGCTAAGAATTTGTATTTAAGGAGAGGTTGCCTCAGTTATGTGAGGAAACAGACAACCGTCCCTTTCACCCACTTCAACATTTCTTCTAAATAGTATAGCACGAAAAAACCACCTCTGCTTAAGGGATTGACACTGCAGATGCGTGGGAAAAAACACAACGACGTAACTTCTGACCCCGTGGGCACTAACGTGGAACTGACCAACCGCCCGGGGCGCGGGGGAAACCCACAATGGGCGCGGATTTCTCCGGAAGGACACGCCGATCGGGTACCCACTGCCAAATCTGGTTCCGCACCAGGAATGGGCGATCCGGAGAAGAAGGACGATGCCCGACACCTACTGCAGGAGGCGGTTCATAAGGAAGAACTCTCCATAGGCGACGGGAGCGAGATTTTAGTCACGAAGCCCGGCGACCTTAATATCGACGGTCTCCGTGCACGAATTGAGGCACTCAGGAAGCTGTACGCTGCACACGACAAGAGCATTCCCTCCCGCAGAAATTTGCTTGCCTCCCTCGCGGCCGACGTCCTTGAACTTGGCCCAACCTATATAATCGATTCCATGGACTGCGACAACCTCGAGAGGAACCGTTTCATTAGCATCTTCAAACGTGACAAACTTGGAAGAGCAACAGAGGCTGACTTGAGAATCATCGGAACGAGCGACAAGCTAATTCAAGGGGGAGATGCGCTTGCAGATGCCTTTCTGTATACAGGAGCCTGCCCCAGACGAGATTTCACGGTTTATAAGAAGTTGTACGGGTTTCTCCCGGAAACAGTGAGAAGGATTAGTGAGAAATCACACAGATTGTTCTTTTGAGGGAACAATAATTCCAGCTAATATCGTCCAGGGCACAACCCGACCATCCACATTTTGAGTACACACGCAGGAGACCTCGCTGCAGAGCAACCGATTCATGGCGACAAATTCTACCAACTTTTTGCCGACTTTGTTCGGGCCTTTCAGGAAACAGGGAACGGATTCGAAACGAATTACGCGGGTTGCAAACCAACGGACACGACATACGCATACCGAGCTCTCGTACACTGCATTTCTGAAGATGTTAGGGCCGCCGTGGGCAGCTCTTAGGCAAAGTTTGTTCAATGGGACCTTTCTTATATCTGTTGGTTGGTAACGGTTGGGGAGTTTGTATTTCAATTTTACTGGGGATTGGGAGATGAAATAGACCTCAACCGCCGCCACTCAGGAAAGGCCAATACATCTTTTGCTACGACCTATTCTGATCCGTTCCAACCTTATGCCAATTCCCCTCCTCTCTGACCCAAAGGAATCATGACTGGATGGCTACGCTGGAGACTAACAGGGGGAGTGAAAACTCAAGCATTCTAATATCTCCTTCCCCCGGCTTGTTGGTCCCAACAGTGCATCCCCTTTGATTGAGCTAACGCTGTTGGTCTTTCTGCCCTGATGTCCAAGTGAAGCCGTCCAAGATAAAAGAAGCACACACTCCCAGACACCAGGGGGCTTAATCCACTCGTTGAATAGAGATCCGCCATCGGATCCAAGGTACTGAAAATCACCGGTTCTCCGACCCCACCTAACTATCCGGAGACCTTCCCGGAGGTGCCGAAGGATTTGTAAAGCTTAGATGCATGATTGGTAACCGTGATGGAAGGTTCTGGAGGGTGTTTCCTATGAATGTATTTTAGATTGGTCCTGGAGGCCATGGGAATGAACGGCACGAGGTAGCAGCATGGACGGTGATTGGTTAAGAAAGCGGGGTAGACTGAGGCTGATAGAATCTTAGAGAAAAAACCAAGAGAAGGGGGGAAGGAAAAGAGTCGGATATGTTGTAGATTAAGGAGAGATGTTCGGGACAGGGGGGAAGCAATCACACAAGTGTATATAAAGATAGGTGTTCCTTTGGGGGAGAAATGATGAAGGCAAGATAAATCAGAATTGAGTTCAGCCCCACACAGAACAGAAAAGAAAAATCTTCCAAGTGCGGAGAAGAGACGACAGACGATCACGATTCACAACACAAGGGACAACCGATTGGGACACTGGAACACTAATGCTTCAGATCCCCAGAGGACCTACCCAGGCTCGGCCCTAGCCACGTAGATCGCGTGCCAGAGCCCTTCTGATAATATTGCACCCCACAGTTCCGTAAGACCACAATAACTACTATCTCTTGGTGCAATTTCAACTTGTAATATATCCAATAGCCTCTTTGTCCTATTTCTGGTCCCCTGTTTACCTATCACGGCATATTCTCTAATTTGTGTGATGGCTATTCAAGCACACTAGCCTCCTAAGCTGGTAACCTCAACCAGGCTCAGTCGATTAACCCCCATACCACCTTCCTGTGAAACACCTTGTGGCCAGCATCTTGCGAGGTCCTTGACCCCACAGCCGCCCCCGCCCCGTCGGGTATCGGTTAAGTTATGCAGCTGGCTAGCTGCCCATTCTCTGAGACAATACGTTACAACGAAGGCGCAATAGGACTTCTAGAAGTCTAGGTTGTCTAACCCTACCCCCACCAGTTCTCCCGTCTGGAATAGTTTCAGGCCAAGCGGCAGTTTTGGTGTCTATATTTGGCAGAGTATGCCTGCTTGAGCTAAATCGTGAGCGGAGCTATCGTAGGAGTGTTCTCAAATTGGTGCCAGGGATGTAGGAGAGGGTCTTCTGGTCCATTAAGTTTTTTAACCTACTAGATATGGCCCATATATATGCAATCTGCCATTATACACAAGAAAGATTGGTGCCGAGTTCCCCAAATATCTTTTAACGTGATTCCCAGGGAAGCGGACCATGACAGGGATCCGGCTCGGTGCCAAGCCTGGCTCAGCCACATACCCCGCTCACTATTCAGAGAGCTGCCGGCATCACTTATCCTCATCAAAAGATTCAAAACCTTTTACTATGAGTTTAGTCAAGTAAAGAAAGACGGATGAAGGTGAATTGTGGCTGCAGGAAGCAATCAAGCACTACCAGCACAGTGGGGAGCCCTCTATCTGCACCTCAGCACAGAAGTATGATGTTGCTTACTCTACTTTGCAGGGAAGGCTGAATGGCCCGCAATGTTGGGTATTGGGGAATCTTAAGATGCAAGTGTTAAGTGAGTGTGAAGAAAAGTCTATTGAATAACAGTACGAGTCAGTAGGTGAGTAGGGCCACCCGGCCAGATTGGTCATGGTGTCACGGCCACCTAGCTATGGAGACGGAATGTGCATGGGTTTTTCATTGCATATATTGGTTGGGGTTGTCTTGATTGCATAGTGGGATTTCGTTTGTATAAGTTGATTGGGAGGCGTTGCTCTGCAGTGGTAGGCGATAGAATCTGACGGAAGAATCGCGGCTGCACGTGACGCCAAGAACTTTCTTTTGTATTCGTAATAATAGAGGATTTTCTTTAGCATATAAAGGGGTGTGCCCCTTTATATTTTACTTTCTTTATGCAATCTAGTAATCTCCTTTGGACACCTGTACCTAGGAATTACACCCTCTACTATCGGGCATCCTCTTGAACCTCTGAACCCGGACCCTGAACCCCTGAACCCTGAACCTCGTACAACTCGCTTTGGTTGTACCCCCATACCTAGACCTCGCCTCCAGAATCCTGCCTGTCCTGATTGTGGTGTGCCTTGGGCTACCTGACCCTCAGACCCTGTCGGTTACACATGGTGAAGAGTATGGCAGAAGCTATTGTAGCCAGACAGGAGAAAATCTGTTCCCTTGGAAACCATTGAATAACCAACTTTCTTAACCATCACCTAGACTTAGTGCGGAAGTTAAGTTCTCGGCTTCATCGTCAGGGAGCATGCAGCATGGGATTCTGAGCTGTAGGGATGTGGGCATTTCACATGATGTACACGAGTGCCCGATGGGTTATTATGTTTACCTGTTCATGACTTACAGTCCTGAGTCACATGATATTATGATTTCACACATGACTCAAATTGTGAGTCATGGGTTTCACTTAGGTGACACAAGTTGCGCAACTGAGTTGGTAACAATGTTTCAATTGGTTTTAGGTATGTTGTGTAGTGACTCATAGGAGTCGTATGATGGATTTCACATGACTTGTGGGTATGAGTTACAAGGTTTGCGTGATGCAGAATATGAGTCAGGCCCGGTGAAGAGCGACTATATAAAGAGTCACTAGGACCCTAAGTATTAGCTCTTCACACCTTCTTGATGGTTATTTCCTGCCTTTAAGTGTTACCAATAAAACCTACCTTTACATTCTTTAAGATTTATCTTAAGAAACCTAACAATTGTTCCAATGTGGGGGTACGGCACTATCTTAATAGCTTTGTACGAAAGTACGACACAGTAGTGAGAGTATACTGCGGGCACGCTAAGCGAGGAGGAATTTTGTATGAAGGTAGATTGGTAGTAGTTCTTGTCCTTAATTCTCTGAAGCGAGATGGGTGGTAACCCCTATTTATACAGGTGAGCATCCTTCGTGTAACTAAGAGGAATCGTAAGGGAAAACATAAGTATCGACGTGTTTGACCGTAATATAAGTAGGAAAAACATAAGTGCGAACGTATTTGACCCTAAAGAACTGCCAAGGAAATCCCATAAAACATGCATAAATATAAGGTGGCGTGAGCAGATAATTAGAACATAATTGTAAATCAAATGACCGATGACCGTGCATGATGATGCATAAAATGTAAGAAATAATCCCGAACACCAAATAAGAAAAGCATACCATAATCCCCTAATCGTATCATGAAATATCAAAAGAAATATACGTAATACATACTCCGCTGTAGTAATGTCCGTGAACTAGAAATAATACCAAGTAGAGGAATATACAATATTATCAAGGAGAATATACATATGAAACGAATTAGAAAATTCAACACTTCTCCTGATTATCTACAGCCCAAAAGTCCCATTAACCGTTCAGGTGCCGGTTTTGCCAGGGCTTTTATACAGATATCGGCCAGGTTATCGGAGGAGGCAACCTGCAGGAGCCTGAATGAGTCGTTATCGATTTCTTCCTGTATTTTCTGGTAGTGTATATGGATGTGTTTCGTTTGATCGTTTAGCTGATGGTGTCTCGCGAGAAAATTTGCACCGGTATTCTCTGCGTGTAAAGCGATCGGTAAGTCGAGACGGATATCTTTGAGACCATTTCGGAAACATTGGATTTGTCTTGCGCCAAGTGACATTGCGACGTATTCGGCTTCGGTTGTTGATAGTGCGACCGAGGTTTGTTTCTTCAAGCGCCATGAGATGCATGCACCGTTGAGAAGTACAATGTATCCCGAGAAAGACCGGCGGGTATCGAGGCAAGTGGCGAAGTCAGCGTCAACACAGGTATCCATAGCGTTTATCGCATTGTAGGGGTAGAAGAGTCCAATATGTTTTGTTCCGTTAACATATCGAAGGACGTGTTTAGCGGCCTTCAGGTGTTGTTCGGTAGGGCAAGCGGAAAATTGTGAGAGGAAAGAAATGGTGTACGCTAGATCGGGTCTTGTGCCAGTAGTCAGATACATAAGTGATCCTATCATTGATTGGTAAATGGAGGGGTCTGGAATGCATGTGTCTTTGGTCTCTGTCGTAAGTTGAATGCCTTTTGGTAAGGGTGTAGAAACGCTATTAGAGTTTTCCATTGAGAATCATGTGAGGATTGACTTGATGTATTGCTCTTGGGTAAGATGTAGCCCGTCTGGTGCATATGCGATGTGCAAGCCGAGTAGAAATGTGGCTTCCCCCAGGTCCGTAATCTCGAATGCCGTTTTCAGCTCTTCTATGCGAGATGTAGCTGCAGGGGTGTCGGCTATGTGGATAGCGATGTCATCAACGTAAATTGAAACGTAGATGTCGTGTTTGTCGTGAACAAACATGCATGGGTCGAGGGATGATGTCGTAAATCCCCTGGAGGTCAAGAATCTGGCAAAGAGAGCATACCATTCATTTGCAGATTGCTTAAGTCTGTAGAGACATCGGTTAAGTTTCCATACTTTGCCTTCGTCACCGAACCCAGGTAACGGTCGCATGTAAACTTCTTCTTTCAATTCGCCATAGAGGAAAGCGGATTTAACATCGAATTGTCGCGGTCGCCATTTGTTTTTAGCGCATATCGCAAGGAGGAAGCGGAGAGATTCGTAACGTATGACGGGAGCAAAGGTTTGTTCGAAGTCGAAGCCAGGGATTTGACCAAACCCCTTAGCAACAGCTCTTGCTCGATACCTTCCTAGGGTGCCATCAGCGTCTCTTTTGACCCTGTAAACCCACTTACTTTTGCTTATTTTCCGTCCAATCGGTTTATCGACAACATCAAAGGTTCCACTCTTCTCGAGGGCCAGAATTTTATAGTCCATAGCCGAGTCCACTGGTCATGGTAGGGGCTGCTTATAGCTTGGTGATAAGTCGTAGGATCCTCGTCCGGCATTTCGGTAGCATTTCTGCCACATCAAATCGGTGGGCGTGATACTCGTCCAGACCGAGTCCTGATTCCTTCTTCGGGTTCCGCTAGTTGATCCTGTTCATGGGCAGGTGGTTCAGGAGTTGGGGAAGGAGGTGCCGGATTCTCGTAGTCTTCGGGATGTTCTGGTGGTGGAGGTGGCTGTACTTCGACGTCTGGTAATGGTAAAGGTTGGTCGTTATCTTCTATTTCCTGAGGCTTGTCGTGAGGTTGCGAGGTAGTCGAGAAAGAGGGAAGCGTGACGGTCGTAAAGGTCTCTGATGTATGGGTTTGTTGCCATGGATCGGACGGTCCAGTTGGGTCAAGCGGTATTATTATCTTGGTTGTCTAATAGATTTGTCTTGTTTCGGAGATCCGCTGTTGCGATAGTATATATATCCGGTATATTTTGTCGGAGGAGGTATAACCGACAAGATATCCTTCCAAGGCCCGCGGCTGTAGCTTCGTTCCAGGTTTTCTTTTCTCCTCTGGTATATGGACGTAGCATTTGGTCCCATATGGGCTCAAGT